TCATGTATTGTCGCCTTAATTTTCAGTAAGCCTATTTTTCTATACAGAATACAGCCTCTAGACAACGAAAGAGTCAATAATAATACACTTAACTATACACACACCTATTGATCAAATAAAAACTAACACACATTAATAATACTCCTATATACAAACACACATTTAGAGCAGTGGCGGCTCCTGCAAAATCTCTCAGGGGGGGCAAATGTCTGGATGATTGATAAAGATAAGGTCCACCCATGCAATGGATAAATTAACAGCTTAAGCATGTAAAGGCAACTTCACTTCTTTAATATTAATGAAAAATAAAGTGACTCTTACAATACATCTTGTTCGTTTCTATACTCACTATTAAAACAAACCACTCAAGTTTATTTTATTAAAAATTCCACTAGGTGGCGACAAATTATATTGTTGGATGAAACGTGCTTACGTATGATGACGTAAGCACGTATGATGACGTAAGCACGTTAGGGCGAGCCCTCCCGGAAGCCATAGAGAATGCATTGCAGCGACCCCGTTCGAAAAAAAACATCTTTGAATGTAAGTCTATGGGACCACTCGGGGCGATTCTCAGCTGGAGGGAAATCGCCCAAAAAGAGGCGGTACTCCACAGAACGTAGCATGACGCTGATTGGACTATATCCAGAGGCACAGTGACGGCTAGCGTGACTCTGTGGTTGAATGACATTGGTGGTGCGTCGCCCAATCGCCCTAATGAAGAAACCGCCCCTGATTTAGAGTATACACCATATAATACATTCTCACATTTAATCACACATACGATTGATGAACATTACACTTACACTCATTTAACATACATTACTTACACAACGTTTAATTATCTATAAATTGCATAATTTCGTAAATTGCATAATTTCGTAAATTGCATATTCTTTTTATTTCAAATATTTTTCACAATACGTGTGGTGCGGTCAATGGCTGGGGAGGCACTGGCTAGTGTCAGAGCCAGTCACACACTGAGGGGGCGTGGCCTCACGGAGGGGGGCGTATTAGACGTGTCCCCCTCAGTGAGGCAGATGTGATAGCTGCATCCCCTGGTGCTTTTTCATTGCAGTTTCATGACGAGACCAGCGAGCCTAAATATCTGTATACACATACGTGAAATAAGTTACCTGGAGTATGGAAGGCGAGGAAATGAAATGAATGGGTCAATCAAACATTACATTGATGACATACTGAGATAGTAACAGGCACGCGATTATTGCCCGCACTCAATCCAGTTACTGAAGGGTTGCGCAATCAGAGGGGAGGCTGAGCTCGTCGCTGCCTCACCTCTCGTCTCTTCCTGTATTTGCAGCGGAGTTTCGCAAATTTGGCGATTTTGACTATAAAAATGATTGTAATCGTACAGAAATGACATTTATAACACAGATCGGTGGAAAAATCTTAATATTTTTTTTTAGTAACAGCTATTTTCATTGAAGTATGACAGGTGAGGCTCTGCCTCCCCTGCCTCCCCTGACCGCACGTCGCTGCAGCACAGTGATAGGTGAGGTTGTAACAAGGCCCAGCGTTAAGGCGTTTGCGGCTTGAAGAAGAGGTTCGAGCTCAAAGGCCACCCTGGTTAATACTATGGGTATATTAAGAAAAAATGCACGATGTCTGCTTCATAGTGAAAGAAGCCGTGACGTTATTTTAAAAAAAAATAGGTTACATCTGCCAGTGTAAAGGTCCAAATTTGAAAATTACTAGCAAATTACCTCACTGGGTAAAACCACAATGCTGGTGGCTATGCATGCTGTAAACCAGCACACTGGACAATCCATACCCAAGCACATCGAGGCTTGCATCTCCTGGCTTACCAGGGTATGGCAGTACAGCAATTGGAATAATTGCCACCTGTTACATTTCCACGGATATTCAATGTTACCCACTCTTGGCTTTTCTCGCTAATTGGCGCATTACCGTCACAGTTGTGGAGCAGCTGCTGAGTCAGCATTTCTCCTTGATTCTGAAAAAGAAGCTAATAGGTCAGTGGGATTTACCTGGAAAAATAAAAATAGTTTAATTTTATTTATATTTGTTGTGATTTACTTCCTTTTCCTATACTTTGCACTCCTATCGTGTGTTTGTATGGTTTGTTGTTATAACTTTCTGACATGCCTCTATACTGGACATCTGTGAAAATTAGCTTAATAGCTCTTCCGACTCCTCCAGTCTATTTTGATTCTGATTAGAAGGTGACATCACTTACCTGAATAGCTCAGTGTGAGATGCGATGCATCACATTAAGGGGATACATTCAAGGCACAAGCATCATTCACATATGGGCAGTATCTCAATTACGTGTAATTTAGATGTGTCATTTAAATATGTAATCTAAAATAAAATTGTAATTCATATCTAAATTACACACCTCAAAATAGTTGGTAATTTATATAAAAATTATACATGACATGGATAATTGCTTATTTATATCCAAATTACATTTCTCCAGAAATGTGTAAGATTAATTCACTTTTCCCATCTCTGAGGGCATCAGGGTGTGGTGACTTCACCAGTGACTGTGATGGACTTTTGTTCATCTAAGCCGTGCAGCCTTGACCTACACACCAAGCTCCTGTTTGTGAGAATCTGGACTCAGTCCCTCTACCCAGTCACATGCAATGACTCACAAAGACAAGCTACACACAAAACTCTGGTGAGAATCTAGATAGTGTCGCGCTACCTCAGTGGTTCCCATAACTATGGATCGTGACCAAAAATGGGGTCATCTCATCAGAGAATGGGGCAGAATCTGGGCCATTTACAGGAAATACAGCAGTGACACCAACTTGACAGGGTGTCGGGTACACCACAGCAGACCACACTGCTGTAGAAAATGTAATGTTTTGTAAATGTAACTGTAGGGACATCTAATTGTTTAGTCATGGGTAACAAGTGTATTTTGTAAATAAGCTATCAAAACAGTGCAATCCATGAGCATTTTTACATATGTAGTGTCGTAGGTCTCTTCTCCGTCTCTCTCCCTTGTCGAGGTGTGTGTATGCGGGTGGCGTGCGGTGCACACCCTCAATCGGAGACGAGGTAGACTCAACTCTGGGGGGTTTGAAGTCAAGGGGAGTGCCAAAACACCAACAATAATTGGTCCAAACCTTCTACGTAGTAACAAGGAAAACAATCCCCTTCTTGGGAACTCTGGCATAGAACCATCCTCACCCTAGCGGGAATGGAACACCTTAGCCACAAACTGAAAGGAACAGATTTGGAATATGAGGACAAATAGTCACCATTTCTGCTGAACCCAGCATGAATACCCAGGCAAACGGGAGACCGGGGTGGGAGATGGACTTCAGATGCAACTACATTCCCGCAAACACTATAATGATCATTGCTCCCAAGGGAAAACAAGTTGGTTAGACCTGGGCATTGCGTTTATGTTACTTTATTTTTGGGTTCTGTTGGATTATATTGTACCCCCTCCCTTTTTACCCTTGCTTATACTTTATTTCTCCTGTTCTCGCGCCAGTTGTAGGCACTCCTAAAACTATCTGTACGGTCATATACACTTGACTTCTCCCCGCTCTCATCTATTCTGCACCTCACCTATCCTGCACTCAGCAACTCTGCACTCAACAGTTATGCACACAGCAGCTCCACACTCAGCGACTTTGCACACAGCAGCTCCGCACTCAGCGACTTTGCACACAGCAGCTCCGCACTCAGCGACTCTTTGAACGCTGCATCTCCACCGCTGCCCTCACCTACGATGCCTCATACCCGCTCACCCGTCTGTCCCGGGCGGGGGATTCAGCCAACACCCGCCCGGCGATGGTGTGAGAGTTGAGGTCTCATTGACGGCTTGAGCGGCAGCGGCGAGATGTCTTCACTCTTGGTTCTCGGGCAACTCCCCCTCCGCTCATGCACACTCTCCTTATATATCCCTCCTCATTCCGAGTCCTCACGTGGTCCCCCTCAAGCCGCCACCAGCCCGGCGCCTTGCCCTTATCATCACCCCCCATCTCCCGTCTCCCCGACTCCAACTTCTGGGCACAAGGTACCCACCTTTTCACCCTCGTTTGCACCTGCTTCTCCCCTTAATTACTGGCGATTTGTTGGTGCAAACCTCATGTTGCCCGCACACATCTGTTCGACCTCAGTTGCACCCGCATAACAGCGCACACCACGTATATCTGTCCTCTGCATATGTATCGTTGCCCGTGGTGGTGGGGTGGTAGCCTCAACCATCCCCATTTGGTCCCTGACCCAAAAACGTAAAACCCTAGAACGCTGTGCGATTGTTCACCATGTATACCTCTCGGAGGACTATTTGGTTGGGTTCTTGATAAAACTAAAATTAATACTGGTAGGAACCTCCTGGTTACACCAGCCCACAGGGGATTATTGTGTCTGTCCGTCGTGCAGGGAGGGGCTGGGTGGGAAGGGAGGGGCTGGGTGGTTGGGGAGGGGAGGGTGGGGAGGGGCTGGGTGGGGAGGGTGGGGCTGGGTGGGGAGGGTGGGGCTGGGTGGGGAGGGTGGGGAGGGGCTGGGTGGGGAGGGTGGGGCTGGGTGGGGGGTGGGAGGGGTGGGGCTGGGTGGGGAGGGGCTGGTCACCCCGTGGTGCCCTTATAAAACTAAACGTTTAACCTACTCACGCCAGCTTGTGCCCGCCCTCACAGTCGGGCATATTTGCGAAATACACCATGCCGCTGTTGACCCTGGCCATTGACCGAGTAACCCAACGTTCCTAGCAGCTCCCTCCGCAGGAATGTGTTATTGATATTTAGACATTTCCTTTAACATTATATCTAAAGTCATTCTTCATCTGTGTCTATTATATTATAATGTTCACACCAGTGTTTTGCCACCCTGCATGACACCAAGTCTTGCCTTGTTGTCACTGAGTCATTTATTCTTCCCCAGGGCTCTATTGTGGAAGAGACTCCGCGTCTCTCAAGGCTCTCCCCTGGCTGAGCCCAACGTTGGACCCATAGAGCATTACCATGCAGTCCACGCCATCGCGCACCAGGCCTCACCTTCCCGCGGATGCCGGCTGTGATGGAGATCATGGAGAGAGTCTCCACCAGCTTCTTGGATGAGTATAAGATGTTCTCCAGCAATGTGAAGTCATTGTATGAGGGCCAGTTCACCATGTCCGTCAGCAGGGAGATGGCTCCTGCACACCATGAGCATACATTACTAAATAACTGTAATAATACAGCACAATTATAATTGTAGTGCTTAAGCAAAATGTGCCACATTTTACATGTGAAAATGAGCAAATACAACCAATCAGAAAAAAGTTAAATTAGCTGAGATGTAAAAGGCAACGTGAGATGCTCTGTACAGTCATTGGGCCACTGATTGCTAAAAAAAGAGATGCATAACATTTTTACATGTAATAAAACAACCTATTCCCTGTTTGCAATGAGTGATTAAGATTTGTTGTTTTGCATATCGAGTGCATCTGGGCTTTTTGGTATTTGTTTTTAAGTGTGTTTTGACTGTACAACAGTGAATACGTATTGTGCAGATTGCATTGTGATTGCTCAACAGCCTCTACAGCGGCAAATGCACTAACACTGTACACTTGCAGCTTGTGTATTTGTGTGCACATTGTGCTTTGCGAGTGTGTTGACAGTATTGGAAATCACGAGGAAAATAAAGCCCAGCAAGAATCATCATGCTTCAGCATGCAGAACTTTGCAATGCAAACATGCATGTCCTTCAGTTCACCATGCTTAATCATCTCTGTTATTAACCCAACACTGCCATAGTTACAGTGTTACTTACTACATGAGAGCAGCAGCAGGCACAGATGGCGGATGATTCCTGTACATCAGCTGAGCAGTGCACACTTCCCTTCAGTCTGATTCCCACCTTTCTCTGTTTTCATTTTCCCACTGTTCATGTTCAACACTTTGTTTGACCAACATAAATTGGTGATGGGTGTATTAACCATACTACAATGTGTTGTCTGCTACACAGTAGACACTAAAGATCATGTGATGCTAAAGATCATGTGATGCCTTTTGCAAGACAAGTAATTGTGTGCCGCAAGAGAAGTCATTGTGTGCCGCCGTCATGGTTCAGATTTGAAAACCTACCCACCAAATACTGAACTTTGATTATTTGGATCATACACAGCAACTCGACTGTGGTTTCCTGATCGACTGAGCAAAATGGACCAAATGGCTCCCTCTCGTTAATAACCTTTCTGATGTTCTGATGTAGACCAAATATTTAACACCACTCATTCACATTTATCTAATATTTAATACATTTAAACTTTTTTTCCAGGAGGGTTCTGCCAAGTTTTTGCAAAAGGGGTAGATGGTGCGAAGTGTAATGTAAATTTTCAGTAAAAGATTCAGCAATGGGAAATTTGACCTATACCAGTCACACTGCATGTTTTTTTTTCTCTATAGGAGGAGAACCTGCAGGATACCAATGCAGAACAGGGGAGACCAGCAAGGCACCCGCATCGTGAATCGAACCCAGGCTCTACTTGCTGTGAGACGCAAGTGTTACGACTGTGTCACCCTACCGCCAATCCTTGATGTGTAAACTGATTGCATAAAAGTAATTGTTTAGCCTTGTAGTGAAAAGGAACGCAACATTGTCCTTAGTTTTAACTTAAGACAATCTTTCTACATTTGCACACATCTTACCGAATGTGTCGTGACACATTTACTCTAACTTGTGATTTCATGCTAATGACATGCTTATCTTGCACTGCTTTAAACATGATCTCCTCCAAACATGGCCTAATCACAGCTCTCCAGTCCAACGCCCATCCGCTCACCCTTTGCGTTACAGATGATGTCCAGGTCCTGCTCAGTGGTGATCCTGGCCAGGGCGTTCAGAGCGGAGAGCTTGCAGGGTGCGTCGGGCACGTCCAGGTAGCAGGCCAGCACGTCCGCCGCCAGCTCTTGATGGAAGCACGACTTCAGCTCCACCTCCTCGCTCAGGTTTGCCAGAGTTGTAACAGCAAACCTCAGCGTGTTGCGGGATTCCTTGAGAAGATATCAGCAAAACAAATGGGTTTCACAAAAATTACTGCACAGTGTAACATGAGCCTGACATTAAACATGTCAGTGAAATAACAACACATTCTAATGATATTTGTAATTTTCGATACACTGTACTGTTGCTTCATGTCTGCTGTTGCTTCATGTCTGTACTGATTTTTCATGTATATGTAATGCGAGCGTAAACGGGCTCGCTGGATATGGCGTAACAAGTGGGAGGAGTTAGGGTCACGTGGGGGGAGAGCTTTTAAGGACAGGAACCGGAAGGGTTCGAGGAGAGAGTCAGAGTAGAGAGAGGAGGAGGCCACGCAGGGCAGGAGGAGGAAAGTGGCGCGATCGCCACGAGTCGGAGACTCGGCACCATCGGCCAGCGGTGTCCGGGCGCAGAGGCGACAGAGAGCCAGCAGCGGGGCAGCATAGTGGGCAGCGGTGGGGCTGCACATTGGGCAGCAGTGGGGCAGCAGATCGGGCAGCAGAGGGGCTGCATATCGGCTACAGTGAGGCTGAATAACGAGAAGCAGTGGGACTGCATGGTGGCGATCGCCACGAGTCGGAGACTCGGCACCATCGGCCAGCGGTGTCCGGGCGCAGAGGCGACAGAGAGCCAGCAGCGGGGCAGCATAGTGGGCAGCGGTGGGGCTGCACATTGGGCAGCAGTGGGGCAGCAGATCGGGCAGCAGAGGGGCTGCATATCGGCTACAGTGAGGCTGCATAACGAGAAGCAGTGGGACTGCATGGTGGAGCAGCAACGGGGCTGCAGGAGCGACGGCAGCGGTGTGGCTGCCGAGCGGGAGACAGAGGAGACACTGAGCGAGGACGCCGTGCGGGCAAGATTGTACGAACCAATAAAGGACAACGGAGACAGACCCGGTGCAAGAGTCCTTTATTACACTGGTGTCAGAAGTGAAACGGCATGTCAATACAGCTCAGAAGAAAGAATATCCCCGCACCATCGTCTGCTACATCTACCGACGACGACGACCTTCCTCAGGCGGTGGCGCTGCCAACGATGGAGGGAGGAAGCGACGCAGGAACGAGTGACGGCCCGGGGGTGCAGGAGGTGGCCGCTTCGGTCGATCCACCCGCGCTGGGGGACGCTGACCAGAGATGGCGACAGGTGGCGGCCCAGCTGAAGGCATTAAAGACGGTCTTGGCGCAGCTGTGCGACCTTGTCACGCCGGCGACGGTTTCGGGGAGGCCCGGGGGTGAACAACGGACTGGGGCCTTGCCTGCGCCGCCAGCCCTTTCCACCACGCGGCACGAGGACGCCATCTTGGGCGTGGCGAGGGAAGAACCGCGGGAAGCCGCCATCTTGCGCCCTCCACCGCGGCAAGACGCCATCTTGCGCCCTCCACTGTGGGAAGCCGCCATCTTTGACACGTTGTGGTGTGACGCCATCTTGAACCTGCCACGCGACTCGCTGCCTGCGGAGGACAGCGGAGCGAGGACCCGCAGCCGTCATTTGACGACGGTTAAATAATTCTCAATTGGCGGGGACTGGAGTGCGTTCGCTTGCTGGATTTTGGCGGCGGTACGCTCCGCCAAATGGACTGCCGCAGAGGCCCTGGAAGTCCTGCCAACTCTTCTCGACGATGAGTCAGTCAGGTTCTTCCGTTCCATCAAGGCCGACAAGAAGAAGACACTGAAAGGGGTCTTCGAAGAAATGGCGGATGCGTACGAGCCTCCGGATGACGCTCACCGACGATTCGTTCAGCGCCAGCGGGCACCAGAAGAGTCGCCGGTGGCATACAGGGGTGCTGTTCTGGAACTGGCCATGGCCGCATACCCTGAGACGGAGCCTGACCTATTGGAACCCCTTATTTTGGGCAAAATGCTGGAACTATCGAGAGACTTGGGGATCCCTATGCCGGTGTGCGGCCATAAGAAGTTGACGTCACGTGCTGCTGCGAAGTGTTTGGATGCCCAGTTTAATCTGCGCCGTTGGAAACAGGTGACAGCGTGGACGGGGGGGCCCATCGTCGAAGGGGGTGCCATGGCTTGGGATCCCAAGAAGGCGGTCTACATTCCTGACGACAGGGGCCCGCAGGAATTGACGGCCGCCTCCACGCAGTGGCCTGTCCAGGGAGGGCCGGGGCCGCGGTCTGCACCGCCGACGCAGGAGCGTCGGGACAGAGGGAGTGCTGTGCGTCGCAACGACGTGGAGTGTTTTCGCTGCGGCCGCAAAGGCCACTTCGCCAGGGATTGTTGAGCCCGTATCCCGGGACTGCCCCAGCAGGAGGCCTCGATCACGGACGTACCGCGGAAGGACCCTCCAGGACAGGCAAGTCGGTGCGCACCAGACACCTGGCAAGGCTTGTCACCTCATTCATCACCATCGCCGCGCGGTCCGGGTGTCATTAACAACGGGAGGCCGCCGACTGACCTGTGTCGCTCGTTAACGCAGTGGCGCAAATTGGCACGGAGGGTAGTTGCGGCCGCTACTGGTTCGTCCACTGTGCCGGGTTCTATACAAGGGGTCGACGTGCGCATTTTGGTAGACTCCGGTGCGTCCGCGACGATTATCTCAGATGTCATTTTCCATCTTATGGGCATCCCGCCGGACGCAGTGCGGCCGGTTTATGATTCCTGCATAGCAGCGAACGGGGGAAGTATGGGCATTGTGGGCCAGGTGGACGCCAATATATCCATCGGGGGGGTGTCGGCCTTAGGAACTGTGTTGATTTCGAGGTCCCTTGCGGTTCCGTGTTTGTTGGGGACCGATTTTCTGGCTAAAATGCCCATTCAAATAAGGGTTAATCAAAATTGCATTGAACTACCAGGGGGTCGAAAAATTTCATTTTTGCCGTCGCCCTGGGGGCGGCCCGCTCCGGTCTGCCAGGTGCAGGCGCTGTCCGAGGTATCTGTTGACATTCCACCTGGTTCGCAGATGCTTATCCCTTTGCGATATCGGAAACCGGTGCCTGGTCTAGAGGGAGCGCCTGGGGTTTTGTTATCACCGTCCGCAACCATAACGGGCGGGTCGGCGTTGGTTGAGGCGCAAACTATTGTCCGGTCGGGCCAGCCGCCATTTTTGCAGGTGTTAAATGGGAGTTCGGAGAATGTTTGCGTGCCGGCCGGAATGGTTGTGGCCCATGTCACGACGGCGTTCACGGCCCATGACGACCTGGGCCGCCGGGACGTGGTAGGCGGAGTTTTGGGCCCTACGGCCCAAGATGATCGATGGGTTGCCGAGATGTGCGGGGAGAATTCATCCCTGACCGGGGAACAGTGATCCGCGCTTCGTGCGCTGTTGCTAAGTTATTCCGATGTGTTTAGCTCGGATGATTTTGACTTGGGACGCACCTCCCTGCTTTCCCATCACATTGAAACGGGGGACGCTGCTCCGATTCAGTTGAATTCCCATCGGATGAGCCCGGCGGAGTGGGACCATGTTTGTGGAGCAGTGGAAGACATGCTGGCTGCAGACATAATATCTCCGTCTAACAGCCCATGGGGCGCGCCGGTAGTCCTGGTAGAAAAGAAAGACGGCAATCTGTGATTTTGCGTCGATTTTCGCAAATTAAACAAACTGTCCGTGGCGGATGCGTACCCCCTGCCGCGTATGGATGATTCCCTTGATGCCTTGTCGGGTGCGAAGTTCTTTTCAACGCTGGATCTCTCTTCGAGATTCTGGCAACTTCCTCTGGATGAGCCCTCGAGGGAAAAGACTGCTTTCCGTATGCCGCAGGGCCTATTTCAATTTAATTGTCTTCCGATGGGGTTAAATGCTGCCCCCGCCACATTTCAGAGGTTGATGGAGCTGGTATTAACGGGGTTGCAGTGGGAGACATGTCTGATATATTTAGACGACGTCATCGTCTTTAGCCGCACATTTGACGAACATCTACAGAGACTGGAGGCGGTGTTCGCTAGAATGCGCTCCGCCAATCTAAAATTTAAACCTAAGAAATGTCACCTATTGCAACGATCCGTGCGCTATTTGGGACACATAGTCAGTGCCGATGGGGTTGCCACGGACCCGGAGAAGACGGCGTGCGTCCGCAACTGGCCAACCCCGGCCACGGTGGGGGATGTGCGTCGCTTCTTGGGGTTTGCCTCATATTACCGTAGGTTCGTTCCCAACTTTGCAACGATCGCTAGGCCTCTGCACCTCCTTACGGGTAAAGGACGGAAGTTCAGTTGGGGACCGCCAGAGGAAGCGGCGTTTAAGGGCCTACGCGATCGTTTGGCGACGGCGCCAACATTGGACTATCCCAATTTCGATCACCCTTTCATTCTGGACATGGACGCGAGTGACACTGGCATCGGGGCCGTTCTGTCACAGTCCAAGGGCGGTGTAGAACGCGTGGTAGCTTACGGTAGCCGCGTCTTGTCCCCCGCAGAAACCCGCTACTGCGTTACTCGCCGTGAACTTTTGGCTATTGTCTATTTTCTCCGCCAATATCGGCCCTATCTCTACGGCCGTTCGTTTATTGTGCGCACGGATCATGCGGCTTTACAATATGCTCTGAGGGTGAGACCAACCATCTGGCCAACTGGCACGATGGTTGGACACCCTGCAGGAGTTTTCTTTCCAAATTCAGCATCGGAAGGGGTCGCGGCACGCGAATGCAGACGCGCTCTCCAGGTTACCTCAAGGGTCCCCTTGCGCTTACGCGTCGGATACGCATAGGTGTACGCCGGCTCAGCAGCCCCCTCGGCCTATTGTGTCAGCGGTTGAGGTGCCTGAGGCTCCAGTGTGCCCGGGACCGGCCGATGGGGTTCTGAACCTGCCGCGATCGGTGTGGATTCACGAACAAATGCTTGACGACTCGTTGGGGGCTTTGCGGAGTCGGGCTGCGAAAGGAGGGGGGGGACTGCTTTCCGGAGGGACACTGGGGGCTGCTCTCCGCGACGGACTGCTGATGTGGAGGGAGGGGTTACATGATCGCTGGCGTCTGGTTGTACCGTCGTCGTTACGGTACGAATTGATTAGGACTCTGCATTGCTACACTCTATTACACCTGGGGGTGCAGAAAACCTTGTTGACATTGCAGCGAGACTACTTCTGGCACGGCATGACGACGTATGTCGTCAGACACATTCGCACGTGTCCCGAGTGTGCCCGGCGAAAGCCGCCTAAACACCCATATGTGCCGCCAGTGCAGTCTATACAGGTGTCTCGGATTAACGAGTTGGTGGCGTTGGATATTCTGGGACCCTTCCCGCCATCTGCTAGGGGCAATCAATTCTTGCTAGTTGGGGTGGTGTTATCTCTCCCGCTGGCTGATGGCCTGGCCCTTACCCGACCAGTCGGCGGCGTCCATTACGGACGCCTTTCTATTTGGATATGTCATGGACAAAGGGGCGCCGGAGAGGCTGCTCACGGATCAGGGCCGAAATTTTTCTTCTAAATTGTTGGGCGAGGTGTGCGCTGCTCTGGGGACTAAAAAGATCCGTACATCTCCCTACCACCCGCAGACGGATGGCATGGTGGAACGGCTAAATCGGATGCTGTCAGCCATGCTATGTCACACGGTTAATGAGAAGCAAGCTGATTTGGATTTGCATATCCCTGGGGTACTCTCGGCATACCGGATGACGCCTCACGCGTCCTTTATTACATATATATGGCGACTTCATGTCTCTGTTACTCCTTTGTGCCTGTGTTACTTCTTCATGTAAATACGGCTCCTGCACGTCTGTACTGCTACTTCATGTTTATACTGCCCCTTCAAGTATGTTCTGCTGCTTCATACCCGTTCTGCTGCTTGCCCGTGTCGTGACTGCTTAGCCAGTATGTTCTGCGGCTTCATACCCGTTCTGCTGCTTGCCCGTGTCGTGGCTGCTTAGCCCCCTCTATCCGGCCAAACAGAAAGTGATTGTGCATTAAGTGGCTGTGTACATGGCCTCAAGGTGCACATAGCCTGGCACAAGCTTCGTGGTGACGTCACCACCACTTAGTGGCCAATGGCGGTTGTTGTTGTGTACATGGCTACACGACCGACCCAATGCAGCATTGCCTGCCAGAGGATCTCTCTCATGGGACTGTTTCCAAATATTTCAAACATCTGTGAGTTCATAAAGTCTAGTTTAGTTAACCCCAGGATCGATCGTAAGCAGGCCAGCCTGAATGTTTCCAACCAGCGCAGAATAGAGAAGAGAGTGCATAACTGGGGCCAAGAACACCTGGAGCTTTTATGGCACTATATGCAAGGTAGTTGCCACAGCGTTGTGTAGCTAATGAAAAGAGAATTCTGCTACATTTATTCAGTCAGACCTTTGCTACTAAACTGGAGTCAGCCATAAGCACACTGCCCAGGTATGGAAACTTCTCCACTCTCTGCACAATTTCGCTATCACTCATGGGTAATTGACTGGGTGGAGTATTTGATGATACAGAATACCCAGGCAGGTACTATGTTTTTGTGAAACTGATGTTAAGGCTTCATCTCTTAGTGGCATGCTCCAGGTTTAGCTATTTCATGTCTATACTGCCCTTTATGTCTGCACTGCTGCTTGATATGTATTTTACTTTTCATCTGTGCTATCCCTTCATGTCTGTACTGCTGCGTGTACTGCTCTGCTCTCTCCCGTGTTCATCTCTCTCGTTGTGCCCTTCTTTGTAATGGAATAAAACAAAGATGATACTCGATGTTGTGTAGATATGTCTGAGGCAATAACTGGGTTATCACAGGGCTAGTAAAAACACAAGACAATGCCTGGGTTATTACTGAGCTAGTTCACACACTAGCACCAGGCGGCTGTATGGACACGCCTTAGAAAATCCCTGGGTTATCACTGGGCGAGTATACAGACAAGCATCGGGCTGCTGTGTGGACATGACAAAGACAATCCCTGGTGCATCACTGGGCTATGACACACACTAGCACCGCAATGCTGTGCGAGTAGCTACTCAACATATGCACTGCTTGTGCCAAGGCCAATACCAATCAGCAGTAGCCATCGTGGGAAAGTAGGAGAATATAGTTATAGGCTCCTACCCAGATCAGCACCTGACTAAACTTGTCCAGTACTCGATTTAGAAGCAGAATTGAGCTTCTGCCCATGCTGCTATCGAGCTGCTATTGAGTCAATGCATCAGATAGAAGAAGTGTAACGACATAAATGAGCCGATCTATGGCGACAGTGGGTGTACTATACACAGGGGCTCACTATAGGGCAGATTTCCGGATGTCACAGAGGTCGGCTCAGGACATGACAATCTGAGTGAACCCGTGAGAGCACGTGACCAGATGAGGGGGCACGGGGGCCCCCAGAAAGGGGTGAGCGGGCCACGTGATGTGGACCCAGAGCCTCCGCGAAGGATCGAGAAGGGGGTCATGTCTAGGGGCGGAGCCCGGTCACATCACAGGAAATATAAGCCGAGTCCCGAGAGGGAGCGGGGCTGTTCGATCCGGGAATGAAGCCACCTTCTTCGATCCTCGCTCTTCAGTCTCCGTACACGACGATCCGACGGTGTGTCGGCTGTTCTGGTTCAACCATATAGAGATGCCGTTCAAGTGGTTAGGTGGTTAGAAATGGTGGCCACCACCTTACGTAGTTAACCCATAATGTACATAGTTACCCGAAATGTACATAGTTAACCTTGGAACGTTGAGCAGTGTTGGTTGTGTTTGTGAATAAATGTGTTGCCTCCAAGTCTTGGTGTGCGCCTGATTATAACCCACTACAGAAGTACTAAAGCTAGTACCTGGAACAATATGCAGCTAGTATATGGCTGGCACCCAAGTTTGTACTGGGCTCCAATGGAGCTAATATCCATTTCGTGCTGTGTTTGCGTTATAGTTGTGGGTCAGCACTGGGGATTGTGCACAAGCAGGAGTGAACATACTTGGCCACATGAGCTGCTGCCAATCCGATGCTTTCTGCATCTCTGTATCACACATTATTTCTCCGTTGATTTCTGTCTGAGTCTCTCTGTGCCTCTCTCTCCACACCCCTCCATGTCTGTTTCACTCTGTGTTTGTGGGTTTTGTCTCTTTGGTATGAGTCTCGCCAAGTCCCCCACCAATGCTCCAAAATTAGATTTAAAACCAATCTCTGCCTTAGATATCACTGACACGCGCACTACATTAAAAACCTCATTCTTGGATGGTGCTGATTATCTTCCTGTCTTTGCCCTGCATGTGTGGATAACCACATTTTTGAACTCATCTCCCATATTTTTAACCTCTCCAACTGCTTCATAAAGCACTGATGATCCAAATCTTCGAAGGGCTACTAAAAATACAAATTACTGATTTGATCCAAAATAATAACTTATCTACCCCAAGCAATCAGCCTATAGAGAAAAGGTCACCACAACATCAGTGGTGCTAGACACTCTTGATCTTATCTTCAACAGCCTGGATAATAATAAACACCTCTGTGTCATCCTTTTTCTTGACTTTTCTAAAGCATTTGGTACAGGTGACACATTATTACATGGTAAACTTGTTTAAGAGCTACACAAGTAATCTCAATAAACAGCCTTTCCTCGAACAAAACCCCTGTCACCAAAGGTGTCCCTCAGGGCTCCATACTCGGTGCTCTCAACAATGTAGGAGACTCACTGATCCACTCCAACCTAAATCTGTTTTGCTGATGACACTGCTGTGGTGGTGTATAGCAAATCTGAGGATTAGCTGTTTACTAAGCTGCAACAATCTTTGACTTTCGCCAAATGCAACTAAATGATCTAAAACTTTTTTTCTGAATGACAGCAAGACAAAACTTATAGTGCTCTCTTGAAAATAATGAATTGAACCCCCTCCCCACTACCACATTTATGGCGTATGACTCTCAACAAATTGAACTTGTTGATTAGTTTAAATATCGAGGTGTCATTCTTATTCACAAGCGATTTTTCTCTGTACATGTTGATCATGTTTGGAAAAAAATAAAGATAAAAATTGCCTTCCTGTACGTAAATAAACTTTGCATTCAAACCTGACTACCATTGGATATTGTTAGAGTTACTATACTTTCCATATTGAACGACTGTGATGTTATTTACAGACTTGGCATAGGCACAGCGCTAAAAAAACGTTGGTCGATTGTACCACATACACTCGCATACACACTCATTCTCTCACTCTCACACACTCTCACCGGCACACTTTCTCACACCAACTTAATCAAACATTACCACACTCTCTCAAACTCGAACTCTCTCACTCGCAGACTCAGGCTCACCCCCCCCCCCCCCCCCCCCCGCGTGACTCACAAAGCGCAGCACGAGGCCCTGGCAGGCGTGGTGCTTGAGCAGGCTCAGCAGGAACTTGAGGCCTCCACAGTCCACGAATGTCTTCTCTGCAATCAGAGAGAGAGAAAATAATCACTCAGAAATCCCTACACTCAACCCAATACATGAACTACAATACCCATACACGCACCACGGTACTCATACATGTGTAGCGCCGTAGATGGGCCACACGTACCTGCAGTAGTGGACAGGGCCCATCAAGGGCGGCGGTACCTCGTACCAGCAGGGAGTCGCTGCATTGCCCAACCCAAAAGCAGGAGGGGCTGCGGGGTGTTCTGGGATCCCCCACTGCCCCCTCCCAACGGGAGGGGTCTGCGAGGTGTTCCAGGATCCCCCGGGACCCCGCCCCTTCGTGGGGAAGGTGTATTAAAAGCAGACCTCTCCAGAGGTTCGGGGCCAATCCAAGACAGAAGCCAAAAGACCAGCCAGCCTAGGACCCTGGGACCCCTAGCCCCGCTGTCCTTGTAAGGGCCGAGGCTCTGTGTGGGCCAGTGGCAAGACCCTAGGACTCCTGGCCTGACGTCCTTGTAAGGGCCAGGTCCGAGGAAGCCAGTGGTTGAGACCCATACCTTGGCTGGGTCGGGTCCCCTAGGTAATTCATAGCCGGAGGACCTGAGAGCATAGCCGGTGTCAGGCACGTTAGACGTAGGCTGTGTTCCTAGTCTGTATACGAAGGTCGCCTCTACAAGTGTCTCCAGAACTCACTACACATGCACCACGATACCACTACACACACCACAATACCACTACACACACCACGATACCCCTAAATGCACCACAATACCCCTACACAGACCATGATACCCTTACACGCATTACAACATAGACAGTCCCTGGGTTACGGAAGGGTTGGGTTCCTGAGATCGATCCGTATGTCAGAAACTGATAAATATCCCCCCAAAATGAACGATAAAATCCCATCGCCGGAAATCGTTGTAAATTATGAATAATTGTATTGCTAGACGAGGAAGAAGGATAGGAGACAAGCATTACAATTGTAGTGACATAGAATTGGTCACGAAGCAGCATAGCGCTGGCTGCTGGCAGGTAAGGGGATCTGCAGATTGTAGTAGCCCTGACTGACAGCAGGCCACGTGATAGACCCAAGAGGGATCTAGGGGAAAGGTTACGGAAGGGACATGTCGAGAGCTCGCTTGTAGGTTCTAGAAGGGGGGTGTGGCCGGGGTGGAGCGTGGCTACGCTGAGAGTATAAGAAGGGCCTCAAAAGGGGACCTCGGGGCTGTAGTTTGGAGTGGGATTCCTGTCGTTGCTGCTGAAAATCATCACCATCAATGCTGTCGTCTCGCCGCCTTCGTCGCTGTCATCCTCACTTGATAAATTACGCTACTAGGTCATAGTTGACGGTCTTAGTATAGCACCATCAAGTCAGATGGCTAGTGTTGTGTGTAGGATAGCAACCAGTGTGGAGTTGCGTAAAAGCGAGTGGCAGCAGAGTGTGTAACCATATAGGGTGTGTATTGTATAAAGTCTGAGGTGTTAATTAAATAACTGCCTCCAAGAACTTATGTCTCCAAGTCAGTCACTACATGATCATCGGGGTCAACATCAGCAGTCATAGGTTCTAAAGGCAGGGCTCTAGAGGGAGCTGCAGCCAGCCCTGCGTTTTAGCGTCACTCTGCGGTATTCATCCCCTGACTCACCGCACTGGACGACTTGCGCTTACGTAACTAACGCAAACATTTCCGCAAGTTGAAATGTTTTTTTTACATTATTTATGGGAGCATTTCCATAAGGTCAGATTTCCATAAGTCTGATCTTCCGCAACCTGGGGACTGTCTGTACTCCTATATACAACAATCGTCATTCACCACTCAGTGGCGATGACGTCACCTCGGCGCCTGCACAAGGCCATGTGCTCGTTAAGGCCACGTGAAGTATTGAATGCCCACTGGCAGGAGGTCACGGGACAGTCCCAAGTACCATGGGTTTACTGACTGAGATAACTGGCCGATGGATCACCTGTGCCCGCTACTGTGTCAACTTGTTTTGTTTTAGCTGCGAGAACCTCCACTCATTGTTGTGAGCGTTGCTCATCTGCCCTCCGTTGATGCTGAAGGGTGTGTTGTATATATGAGCCTTTTTCCAAAAGTCATTAATAATAATTCGGCCAATATATATATTTTTTTTTTGAATAATAAATAATGAAACCAAAACATTTAACACCGCAGCACACACACAAGCAAGCATCTGGAGGTCGTAAAATGCCATTAAATAATAAACCCGGGGCAAAGGAAGGAGCTAGTCATTAAATCAGAACAACCCACACACGTCGCCCCCCGTCGGACAAAGGATAACGAAACAGACGTTTTTTTTCGTTTGTTAACTTTTTCTCATGTTTCTTCTAACAACGGTAAAAGTTCAAACTTAGCGACAAAGATTAAGTGAACATTATAAACCCACACACTCACTCCAATTAAGAACCAGGCTACAATCTATATCAGTGGATTATTATTTCTCATTCATTATTTTAATACTAATGTAATTTATTTTTATCTTTATCTATATCTACGCGACCTGACCAAAACGTCAAAGAAGAGTTCTGGCAGTCAGGGATGTTCTTAAGCCAAAACGAATTCTCTAACCTCGGGATATCAGATAATAATAATAACTCGAGAACAAACAGCACAAACCCAGGATACAGGTGGTAGAACAAAGGTTAGTAAACCCTATGAAAATACGTGGTAATACCAATGCTAAATCACAAATCTTGAATAAACACAAACCCAGGGGCGGTTTCTTCATTAGGGCGATTTGGCGACGCACCACCAATGTCATTCAACCACAGAGTCACGCTAGCCGTCACTGTGCCTCTGGATATAGTCGAATCAGCGTCATGTCACGTTCTGTGGAGTACCGCCTCTTTTTGGGCGATTTCACTCCGGCTGAGAATCGCCCCGAGTGGCCCCATAGACTTACATTCAAAGATGTTTTTTTTCGACCGGGGGGCGCTGCAATGCATTCTCTATGGCTTCCGGGAGGGCTCGCCCTAACGTGCTTACGTCATCATAAGTAAGCACGTTTCATCCAACAATATAATTTGTCGCCACCTAGTGGAATCTTTAATAAAAGAAACTTGAGTGGATTGTATTAATAGTGAGTATAGAAACAAACAAGATGTATTGTAAGAGTCACTATATTTTTCATTAATATTAAAGAAGTGAAGTTGCCTTTACATGCTTAAGCTGTTAATTTATCCATTGCATGGGTGGACCTTATCCTTATCAATCATCCAGACATTTGCCCCCCGAGAGATTTTTCAGGAGCCGCCACTGCACAAACCAAATATTAATTATGAAGTATTAGACCAAGGGTCATCCAGAAGAATAAGGGCGAAATAAGTCAATCATACCTAACCAAGATGTAATGCATTCTATAGGAAAAGAGCCTCCCAACCGCCTTTGTCTTCCCTCCGCACGTGATAGCAAGATTTGCACACACAGGCAAAGAAGGTCACACCCACCGCGACGGAAGGAGGGGAGCGGGGAAGAAAGGGAACCCCCTCCCCCCCCAGGTTAATTATTGCAGGGGCTGAAAGGACACACGTGGAGGCAATCTGGGAAAGCCGCTTCCATTGATGAACTTATATTACCTCAATAAAATCAACACACACACGGACACACATACCACTTCCCCTCCCCACAGCAAGCGACATCGAAGGAAATTCGGGTCCTTTGTGAGAAGGGAAAGAGAGAGGGGAGGGATTATACATTTCTAAGTACGAACACGATTCACAAATCGTCAGTCTTGCTCAGTCTTGTGACGCAGTCTTGCGAGGGAGTATCGCGAGGGAGCTGGGGCAGAAGCTTGCCAGCAGGCACCGACATCAACCATGGGTGTCGTGTCTCGCAGAGAGAAGGGACGAGGTGTCGTTAAGAGCTGAGTTCGGCATGAGCCGACAGAGTTGCGCTGACGAGCAATCAGCCGAGAGAAAGGGCGGAGAGCGTCAAGCATCGACCAAGCGAGCATGGCACAGGACCAGCAGCATCAGACATTGGTGCCGGTCACCAGCGAACGAGAGCATCGAGCATCGCCAGAGAGAGAACGGAGCAGTGAGCAGCGCCACCGAGCGCCACCGAGCAAAGGGTGTCAGCTGCCAGCGGACAAGTGGCGAGCGTCGTGTCGACCCGTCATCCAGCAGGGAAATGAGCCTGACCGGCTGCCCGTGAGGAAGAGGAGAGCGCCATCGAATGCACCGTGTGTTCGACTACACACCGACCTGCACCAGCTGGGAACCAAGACATCCAGCAGCGGACGAGCTGTGCGCACGATCTGACGACTGAATCATCGCGCACCGCCGATGGCGAGCACCGTGCCGACGCAGCTCATCTAGCAGCGGAGAGAGAGCCGGCGGCTAACTGCAGACACGCCCGCGCGAGGGAGAAAAGCCACTGTTTGTATGCCCTTCCCCCACCCTCACAAGCTCACGACACAGCTCCCGGCCTCTGCTTAACACAAAGAATGTATCAAAGGGGACAATCACACACACCCACACATGAACCATTAACTGGTTGTGAAGGCATCGCTGCTCATAGAGTGATAAGAATACGGTCGTTTATAAGTACATTAGTCGTTATTTTTTTGTAAAAAAATGTTTTATCTCCTATAATTACCAATAGATGCATCGATGCAAACTAAACTTTTGAAACCTTCGTTACGAATCTACACGCTCACAAGGAGAATATTGTGTTAAACCTTTCTTTTGAACATCAAATCTTGCCCACAAATTAATTGAAGCTTAGCCACCGCCGCACACCATTGTCTCAAAACATTTCGTTAATTATATAATCTTGCCGATGAATCTATTGACGTGTACTTTTACCTTCGGGATATAATAATTAGCTTTTTATTGCCTGTCGTATGAATATCGTCGCATGCATGTTTTAAGGACTTTTCCTATCGCCGTATATGTTCGCGTACTCGGAGGAATTAATCAATTGTTTGGTTGCCCAGTGAAACAACGCAATCATTGATGGTTAAATGTACTGCTCAATGAGGGAAATTTCATCTTCTTGGTTCTTTCGGTAAA